CATTCCTGACTTTATGCTCTTCAGAATACCTATCTGTATTCTTAAGTTGGTAATTAAAGTAAAACTCACTTTTTAACCTTTTGATACTTTATGACAATAAAAAGAATTCTTGGGTGAAAAAAAGTTGAGTTGAACCACTGAACACTCAAAGGCTTTGTGTATCCATGTGAATGTTGAGTACATACAATCAAGTAAATATTACGACATTGTCCTACTATGATTACATTTAGCATATACATGAACACCAGGCATGAGTAAACATTTTTTACTTTCAAGTTTGGCCATCATTTAGCCTGGTCTTTATGTTTTGGAATTCTATATTTCAAGTAATTCCTTCATTAATACAATAAAATGTGAGACCCTGCTGTGTATAAGACTATTCTTTTTCTAGAAAATACGTTTCAGAGGAGGATGAATTACCTAATTCCACTTGATTCTGAATGTAGAATTCTGGTTCCCAGGTATATTGATACTAACAGGAAAAAGGGTTCTGTGCTGTACTGATTTTGCAAAAATACCTGGTAAAAACTAAGGTGAGATAAACATGTTTCTCTAACATATCACTTCTTAGAGCCTATAGTATGACTGGGGCACATTTTGAGTCTCTGAGAAGGAGATATGGTACTTAGCATTGCCCTAAGTGTTTTGAACATGAAACTCTGCACAGTGGAATCCTTGACTGCAGGATGGAGGAACATATTACCCAAAACCAATTTTCCTATTTGTCTCCCTCAGAGGAGGGTAAAACCTGAATTGTGAGTGAGGAAAGGGACACCTGCCTATTAAGCCAGCACCCCTAGGCTGGACTCTGAAGTGTTTTCCTTACACATAGGATGATACACATGGATGATACAGATGGGTATTCCGAACAGCGTGAAGTCAGGAATAGAAGAGGCTGGGTGAGGTGGAAGGAGACCCTTCCTCCACGTTACAGTTTGAGCTGTCCTTTCAGTTTCATATAATTTATTCTGTAGTATTTACATTGTATCAATTCTTTATATTTATCTATCAATGATGATTAATACATAAAAGAAAGAATGGTGAGCACAAACCAGGGCCTGATCCTAATGGACAAGCTGATGGCCAATTCTTTGGTCTGAGGAGGTTGAGAGCTGCCCCCAGAACAGTCTTCTCTTCATTCTGTGGGACTTCCATGCACCATCTACTCAGCGCTCCCTCGGCCAACCATATCACTCAGAAATACTTTGAACTGCTTTTCATTCATTGCTACCCATTTTTGTATCCCTTGTTAAGATCTCAAATGTTTTCCTATGTTTCTCCAGTATTATTTCTACCTCCAGTGACACTATTTGTGGCAGTGATTTGTGTCATAGGATTATTTCTTAGTACATCTCCCACATTGGCCCCTAAAAGTGGCCCACCAAGGGCAGTGGTGGGAGCTGTTGGCCTCCGGTACAGTCAGTTAGTGGGTGCATTGTCTGCAGAAAATTTAAAAACAATAATAAAACCAGGTTGGTCTGCTTTTTATTGTCATAATGCTCCAGTGATTCTAAACAATGCCAGTATAAAAATATTCCTACCTGCAGGGGCAGATGCCCCCTCCCCACAAATGGCTCTCTATTAGAAACTTGTGTTGGAGAAATTAAGCATAATTTATATTTTATGCTTTCCCTTTACCTATGTCAAGGACAATTTAGTTTATCTTACTTGGTAAAATGGAATTATTTAAAATTAGGAATCTTAGCCACACAAATCTAAACCCAGTTCGTCATTATGTTGTGTCTCTCCTTGATTACTTTTCTGAAGGAAAAAGAACTGATGTAATAAAAAAAAACTAGGCTTGAAATTCATTAAATCCTAGGCTTCTTTTTTCTTTCAAAGAGGCAGGGCTGGCACAGTGGCTTAGCTGTGTAATCCCAACACTTTGGGAGGCTGAGGTAGGAGGATTGCTTGAGCCAGGAGTTCGAGACCAGTCTGAGTACCATGGCAATACTCTCTCTACAAAAAGTTAAAAAATTAAAAATAAAAAAAATTAGCTGGGTGTGGTGGTGCGAACCTGTAGTCCCAGCTGCTTGGGAGGCTGAAGTGGGAGGATCATTTGAGCCTGGGAGTTTGAGGCTGCAGGGAGTTGTGATTGTGCCATTGCACTCCAGCTGAGTGACAGAGTGAAACCCTATCTCATATAAATAAAATAAAAGTGGTAGTGTTATATAGTAGGATTTACTCTTGAATGCAAAGACCTTACTGATCCAGGGGATGGCATTAGATCTCTGGGTCTTAGTCTCCCTCTTTTAAAGTTAGGCTGATGTACTTAAAGGTCATTAGTGAAGGAAATAGCCAGATTCTTTAACAACATGGTCAATCCAACTGATTATGCCAAATTAAGGTAATTTTTAAATATCTGGATTGAAGGAATAATTGATTATATAGCCATTACAGCCTTGTCCATTTTCAGAAATATAAATATGTAAGGCCTACCAATTCTCAAATACTAAACTCCTGGCATTTGAAGATGGTCTGTCAGATTTCTTAAACTCTTAAATGGGAAGTGATATGGTTTAGCTGTGTCTCCACCCAAATCTCATTTTGAATTGTATTTCCCATAATCCTCACCTGTTATGGGAGGGACCTGGTGGGAGGTAATTTAATCATGAGGGCAGTTACCCTCATGCTGTTCTCATGATAGCGAGTGAATTCTCATGAGATCTGTTAGTGTTATAAGTGGCTTTCCCCCTTTTGCTCGGTACTTCACCTTCCTGTGGCCATGCGAAGAAGTACATGTTGGCTTCCCCTTCTGCCATGATTGTAAGTTTCCTGAGGCCTCCCCAGCCATGCTGAACTGTGAGTCAATTAAACCTCTTTCCTTTATAAATTACCCAGTCTCGGGCATGTCTTTATTAGCAGTATGAGAAGGGACTAAAACAGGGAGAGAAGGAATTCCTTTATGACCCAGAAATTCTCTTGTAGACTTTAGGAGGTAAAAGCCCTCAGAAAGGCTTGTTGTTGGCAGGTGGCAGATGCATTATAATCAGGCTCAAATTGGGCCACCATAAAGATTTTGCTACTCTTGCTGCCTCCGTATTTTGCTGCGTTGTTTTCTTTAAAGTTTCTCCCAGATCACTTCTCTATTTTAGAACCCTCCAGAGTATACAAAAGTATTCAGAATCCATGGTGGACATCACTGAATCTTTCTAGTTTTCACCTGGGGAATGGAAGCTTTAGACATGGTTCCCAAGGATCCGTGAATGGTGGCTGCTTTTTTTTCAGTGATTGAAAAGACTGATGTTTATTCACTCATTAAAAAGGAAATTGCTTGCTTAGTTTGTGCCAACACCACTGTAGGGGCTGCAGTACAACAGGGAGCAAGTTCTCTGCCTTTGAGGAACTTGCCTTCTCCTTATGGGATGGGAATAGCAAAAAACAGATGGAGCCAAGATGTGCAAAGGTAGTTTTTAGATTCATTTAGAGTCCTTACACAATAAACCATACCCGCCTCCCCACCCAAACATTGAGCATAGCAATGTAAAAGTAATGTAGTTTTAGGGGTCAAAGTCCCTACAAACATTTCCAGATGTCAGTTGTACCTTATAGTTTTGACTTAAACTGAGCAGCCTCCCTGCCTACCTTTCAGGTCATGCCAGTCCAAATTCCCTAGGTCTGGCCTTCATCACTTTCCCTAAGTCAATATGGTCAGAAGCTTTGTTTCTTGTTCTGTATCAGTGCTTCCCAAACTTGGCTATGCCTCAGAATTACATATAAAGTCACTTAAGGTACCAGTTTAAAAAATATGTATTATAAATATATATGTGTTATATATTTAAATAATATGCATATTATTAATTTTTTAGGCATGTGAATTGGAATTTCTAGGAAAGAGGGACCTGGGTTCTGTATTAGCCACAGTGCTCCAGGTGATTCTGATTAATCCAGCTGGCTTTTTTTTTTTTTTTTTTTGAGATGGAGTCTTGCTGTGTCGCCAGGCTGGAGTATAGTGGCACAATCTTGGCTCACTGAAACCTCCCTCTCCCAGGTTCAAGCAGTTCTCCTGCCTCAGCCTCCCAAGTAGCTGGGACTATAGGCATGCACTACCATGCCCAGCTAATTTTTTTGTGTGTTTTCAGTAGAGACGGAGTTTCACCATGTTAGCCAGGATGGTCTCAATCTCCTGACCTCGTGATTTGCCCACCTCAGCCTCCCAAAGGGCTGGAATTACAAGTGTGAGCCACCGTGCCTGGCCGGCTTCATTTTTCAAACCAGATTCTAGGAGCCAGTCACTACCAGATTAGTTTTTTAAATGCAAGACTTCCTCCAATATTCTCTTCTGAACGCTCAGGACTTTACTATGCTATAAGGGATGGGGTATTTGAGGAGTTCTGCCTACCCTTCTAATGCCATCTCTCGTTGCTTCATTACTAGTGCCCTCTGCTTCAGGGAAATCCACTTGTTGACTTTTTTTGGATGCCATCTGCCCTCCTGCTTTCAGAAAGTCTTCTTCATGCCTTTCCTCACATCCTCAACATCCTCTTCCGTCTTCTCTAGTCTCATCCATTTTTCAAGACCCACTCAAGTCTGACCTCTGAAATGATAACCTTGCCACGCTGCCAACCTGCATAGCATTATTTTTGGATTTCCCTAACCTTTATCCTTTGGGTCACTCACTTGTCATTATATTGTAGAAATTCATGATCATGAGTTTTAGTTCAACCTTGGGAAGGCTTGTAAGTGATGTATACACAGCATATCATTTCTAGCATATCATTAATTATAAAGGAGTAAAGAACGTTTATCAGTACTCTTTAGAAATGAGTGATTCTATTTTGTATTTCTAAAAGCATTTTATAAATTCAGCAAAGGCATGCACTATCCCTGTCTTATTCACTAGAATGGTCTATAATTATTTGTTGAACTAAGTTAGGAAAAAGCCTGTATTATTGTTTCAAAATCTTTGGGGTTGCTTTTTGTTAATTTTGTGGTGCCTGCCATAATGAGAGTTTGAAGCTTTTCTTTCCACTCTTGTGTTGTTGTTATTTCCTTTTTAGCACCCGGCAGGAGTTGAAGCTGCCCACTTGACTCTATGCCTGGTTGCTGTCCCGGAATGATGCTGTTTATCATGACTTCAGAAGGTACAGAGAGTAACCTAAATTATCCTGTTATTAAAGTAATAGATAAACCTAGAGGCTACTCCACAATGAACATTCCATTAGCTCAAAAAACCCACTGTGCTCCATAAAACTGATCTTGTTGGCTATCTGGGCTTGTTTACTGTTATGGGATTTAAGGCAACTTTGAAGATCTGACTTTGATTCACTAGAGAAATTTCTGTTTTATATTCTTTCCAAGTACACTAACTTAAATTCTTCTGATTTTAATTTTGTTCATGCCTTGTACTCCATCTTCATTGGATTTGATCTTTCTGATAACTATCAGAAATAGCCCTGGGTATATTTGAAAGCAGACATTCCATCAATTCTCACAGTAAATTGCATAAGAAAAAAAAAAAAAAAACACTTGGGAAAGCAGTAGCCTACACATACCTGGGTTTAGAGGGCATCTTTTGCCATCAACTTTGTAGTTCTAAGTATTCTTCTGTTATACACATACCTCCTGTGAATGGCAGCCAGACTTTCCTTACTTTGGTGTGCATATTTACTGGAAGCAGAAAAGCGGTTTCTTGACATATGTTGCCTGTTTGCTAAACTACACAATGACCACAGTTTGATTCTACATAGACCCTTGAGATTCAGGCTGGTTAATGCAAAGCTGAAAGCATATACCCTGATACTTTACCTGACAGCAACTGAAGGTATCATTCATTAATTTATTCAATATTTATTTGTGGGGTGTCTTTTCTTGGTCAGATACCATGGGAGGACCTATGATGCAAAGATGAACTAGATAGGTACATCTTTGTCCCAAGGAAGTTATAGTTTATCCACATAGACATGAAGCAGGGGATTATACTAGTAATAATTTAGTTACTCTTGTGATAGTGGTATGAAGTTAAAAATCTAGTGCATAATGAGAAAATATAATAAGAAGCCCCAACCTCATTGGAGATGGTGAGTTGCAGGGAGGAGTGAGAGTGGGAAGTGTTCAGAACAGCTTCCCAGAATGGGTATTATTTACTCTAGGGGTTGAAAAATAAGTAGGAAACAGCAAGGCGGAGAGAGGAGTTAGCAGCTCCACAAATGTGAGAATAACGAATGCTTAGAAAACCTACATTGTTATGATAAAATCTCAGTTATGCTTATCTAATCCTATATTTGTTCTGTCACTGATACTAAGTGAGAAGGACTGTATGATCTGTAAAATCTGTTTAACCTGGTTAGAATAAATTATGAAGAACAAGAGTGGTGTTAAGGAAACTTTGAAGGTCAGGAGATGAGGCAGAGATTATAAATGTTTGTAGGAAAAAACTTCCTGTTATAGATATCCCGTGAGGGTTCTAACCCATTCCAAACAATTATTTACACTAAACAAATGAATGTTTTTGGATATATTTGTTGACATATGTGGATTATAATATAATTTAGCACTATAGATCAAATTGAACCTAATATATTATCCAACTATAACAAAATACGTAGCATTTTGGGTGTTTAATAATGTAACTATTGCATTCTCTGTATGTCTAAAATAATATAAGAAAGAAAAACAGAAAGAAGGAAAGTCAGATACAAAGGAAAGTCAGACAGAAGGAAAGAAATAAACAAGATGGGTAGATTTAACATTTTATGAAAAATGTGTTTTAAATCAAGTAACGTCATTTTTAATTCTCCCACTGAAAGTTAAATACTCATTAAGAACTGGAATCATTTTACATTGACAAGAACAATAAACATATGTTAACTGGAAAATAAGGTATAATTTTCTCTATCCCTCACTTTGTAGCTACTAACCCTTTAGGTGAATCCAAAATACAGTTCCTATGTAAAATTCACTTGTGTTGCCTCTCAATTATGGATGCTTTACCCGGTTTAAGGGCCAAGAGAGAGAAAAGGAAAATAGTATTGTAGTTGCAGTCAAATGTCGGCTGGAGCTGCAGTCATCTGAGCTAACTACTTTACTTATGTTATTGAACTTAATTATAATGGCAACTTCATTTTTTTACATGTGGGAAAACCAAAGGTCAGGGAGATTAACTAATTTGCTGAACATTTGAGCTAGAATTCAAATGCAGTCCAAAGCCCATTTTATATCTTCTAAATTAAAGAAAAAAATTTTTTCCCCCTGGAGAAAGACTGCCTGATTTTCTTTATTATTTGGGGATTAGTGGCTGTCTATAAAATTCTGGAAGGTCTCATAAAGGTAAACTTATGTCTGGTGTGTGGTTCAAAGAGAATTTTCTTAACTAGACGGTAAAATGTTCCTTCAAAGGGCTGAGCATAGAAACATTGCTAATGACTTTTTGTTCATATTTCCTCTTAAATTATTTTCATTACAATTATAAATGTTTATTCTAGAAAATTAGAAATACTTAAGTGCACAAAGAAAACCTCAACATGTCAAAGATAACCATTAAAAAAAGTGATAACATTTTATCCTATCCTATTTCCTTTGAATACATATTTCTAAAGATGTATTAGAGACTAAATGTAAAATTTTGTATTATCTTTCACTTAATACCATAAGACTTTTTATCTATGGCCAGAAACTGTTTATAAATATAACTTTTAATTTGTGCATATTGTTTCATTGTATAACTTAGAAATATGGGAAATACTTTATAAATCAATTCTTATGACTTATGTTTAGAACTATTAAGGGAAATATAAAGTATAATTAGATTTAATATTTTCTTTGAGTGAAACGCTTCTAAAAATAGTTAACTTGTTTCAGATTAGGTCATTTGCCAAATGGGTTGAATTTGCAGCAAACCTCCTCAGTCAGGCTGTGTATCTTTCATCCATGTTTTTGGAGAAAATTTTGACTTTCAATTCTTTTTTTTTTGAACGGAGTCTCGCTCTGTCACCCAGGCTGGAGTGCAGTGGCTTGGTCTTGGCTCACTGCATGCTCTGCCTTTCGGGTTCACGCCATTCTCCTGCCTCAGCCTCCCCAGTAGCTGGGACTACAGGTGACTGCCACCACGCCCGGATAATTTTTTTTGTATTTTTTAGTAGAGACGGGGTTTCACCGTGTTAGCCAGGATGGTCTTGATCTCCTGACCTCATGATCCAACCGCCTCGGCCTCCCAAAGTGCTGGGATTACAGGTATGAGCCACTGCGCCTGGCCATGACTTTCAATTCTTTAAACTTTACTGTGACTTGGGACAAGGCATTGCTCATTTTTTTCTGCTTCTTAAGATATTGGGAAGCAATGCTTTTTATTTTTTGCTTTTTGCTTCCATAAAGCAAATAATTCAGCGATTATATTAACAGAAAATAAGAAGCGTATCATTTTCTTGGCTTATAATCAGCAAATATTTTATCCAGGAATACCTGAAGCATTAAGATCCATTTCATATATATAGTTCTACCTATAGTCTGACATTTCCTTAACTGGCTACTGAGTAAAAGCTGGATTCTAGAATAAGACAGCCTGGTTCTACCACCTAGGCATTGTGTGAATTTGAGCAAGTTACTCAAACTCTGACCTTATCTCCTTGCTGTAATGTAAGTATAACAACCATTAGCTACCTCTGAGGGATCCTGTGAGGATTAAATAGGTTAATACATGGAAAGGATTTTAAATAGCACCTGGTATTCCGTAAGTGCACAATAAATATCAACTATTATTATTGTATGATGCCCTTATCTTTCGTTTGGTAATGAAAATTTTTTTATGCTGATCTTTGGTTAAAACACACCATTTTCAGATTAAAGCCTGAGCCAGTCTGTAATGCCTTTGAGGGCACAGAATTTATATCCCTCAGATGGGCTATTCATTGTTTAGCTCAGTACCTGGTGTTGGGTGTCTATTTCTAGATGTTTCTTTCTGAGATTACTCTTAGGCTGAGTTGCTAATTTGATTATCTACAATATGATTTTAGCTTCTGGGACTCACTGTAATGGTGCAGAGACATCCCTTGGGTAATGGAGCTGATTCTCTAGTAGAACTGATTCTCCAGCAAAACTTCTGCCGGGCCCTATCTCCACCGGGGGGAAAGGGGAAAGCATGAACTAAGGACAATGATTATGCTAGTCTGGTTGGGGTAAAGGCTTTGTTATGGGGAAGGTAGGGTATGGATTGCGACTAGATGATAGAGGACCTTGACACTGCATGGGCAAAGCCATTGGATTCTGTTCTTTACAGTATGGTGAAAAATCAGGGAAAAGGGGGCATCTTTCCGTAGGACCCAGAGTCTGAGTCCAATCTGTTTATACTCACAAGTCTCCTGATTCTTGCATTTTTAAATTTGATTCATTTCTTTCTCAGTTGCAGTATGTCGGAGGGCATTGTTTTCACATTTCTGCTAATAACCAAGTGGCCTGGTCATTGAGGAAAAAATGTGGGGGGCAGATAGTTCTTCCACAGTCCTGAAGTCATCATATTCAGATGGTGGCCTCTTTTGTTCCTGTAGTGTTGGTCTTGGCCCCCAATGATTTTTTGTAAAATTTCTGTTCTTTAGGAGCCCCCAAAATTGAGATTTGACTGTTACAGACGCATGATTATGTAGATGATCATTATTCAATCTTTAATGATAGAAAATGTTATTTTTATGAGTAGTTATTTGCTAGGCTATACATACTACATACACATGCAAAACAGATGCTCTGTATTTTCTAAGTACTGTCGTCAGAATCCCTGAGAGTTGTGCCTAGCAGTAAGTGGCCATAGTAGTCTAAAAGGTTAATTATTTTATCAGCTAAAGAAGTTCTCAAGCATCTTCCAGAACAGACATGTCCATATGACAATCTTGCTGGATAATGATGAGAAACATTTGCATTAATAATATAGTGTGGGAACTGGGAGGCAACTGAAATGAGGTTAAAGGATAAGGACAAAATGCCAGAAGGATGTAGTTAATCGAAAGGCTATCTAATTTTTATTGTGTTTGCAACAAATTCTGTGGAGATTTTATAAACCACCTCAGACAGAAAATGGCAGAAATTAATTATATCCAGCTCTGTATTTTCACAATTTGTTCATGCCCTCTTTTTAGCCCTTCCACATCATGTTATAATTTCATATCATGTCAATCAAGTTATATCTGTCTTCCCCACTAGATTGCTGATCCTTTACCTTGGAGATGGACCACTTATTTTGTGGTCCCCAGCACCTGACATAAGAATGGCACATAGTAAGT